GTTTGTTCACCGTGAGAAGTGCTACCATGTACCGATGTCAGGACAACCAGAAAACCGAATTGCTCTCAGGCAAGGAGGAGAACCAAATGCTGAGCTGGAAATAAAATTCTGAAAAAAATTGTGGCAAGCAGAAATCCCGAAGTCAAAATTTTTGGGTGGAAGTTGAATAATGGTTTCTTGCCCGTGCTTAGTAATTTGAAGAAGAGGAGAATTGACATTCAACCAATTTGCCCAAGATGTGGCCAATATGAGGAAACAGTCGTGCATGCAATCTGGGAGTGTGTCGACGCTAAGGCTATATGGAACAACACTGACATATCCCTTAAATGGAGAGATGTGGAATAGGATGCTAACGAAGGATGGCTCAAAGTAATTGCAAAGGAGGTCGAAAATGAAAGTTTGGAATTTGGCTTGGTGCTTAGATGGGCTGTGTGGCACAATAGGAGCTTGGCTATCAAAGCTTATGAGAAACGCACGCCAGTGGCCATCGCATAGTTCACCAAAAACTACTTGGATGAGTATAGGAGAACTAACGAAAGAAGAGTTGAGCGTGGCACCGAGAAAAAGGACAAATGGGAGCCACCATCTCAGCGATGTGTAAAGGTAAACTTTTATGGAGCCTTAATATAGCAGCGAAGGTGGGAGGCATCGAGTGGTAGCAAGGGATCATGAAGGCAGGTTTCCGTGTGCTGTTTCAGTTAAAATGGAGAACGTGAGGGACTCGTTAGTGGCGAAGGCACTCGCAGCTATAAAAGCTTTTGAGACTGCCAAGGATATAGGATTCAGGACTGTTATTGTTTAAGGAGACGTATTATAGGATATCAAGGGCTTGACCTTAGCAACCAAAGACATGTCAGTTATTGGAAACTTAAAAGAAGATGCTCGAGCCATAGGTGAAAATTTCTCATCTGTAAAGGTGATTTACGTAAAGAGGAAAGCTGATGTAATAGCACACACTCTAACTAAGCACGTATTGGAACTAGGATCCAATTTGAGCTGGCTGGATGTAACTAGGGAACCAATATGTCAACTCTAAATGTAATGATTTCTAGAAATATAAATTTCTCATTTTGCCAAAAAAAATAATAATCTTTTTGAAGGATTTTTCAAATATTTTTTAAGTGTTTTAAAGCAGAATTTTAACGTTCACTTACTTTGACTGCGAAAGGAAAAAAACAAAAGAAAAAACAAAAATAATAAATAAATAAACATAATCTGATGTGGCATAGTCGAAGCCGTGGATACGAGGAAAGTCCATGAACTGACGGACAATTCAGATTTAAATTCTGAATATTCACATGCGAGCCACGTGAAAACACGCCAATCTTCTTACCCACTTGTTCAAAAACTATCGTCCCTCCGTAACTTTGTCAGTTACTGTAACAAATTTTCCCTTTAAAAAACAAAAGAAAAACACATGTTATCCAATCTGTTACTTCGGTTTATGCACTTTTATTTCTAAAAAAGAAAAAACTGAATGGAAGGAACTATTTTCTCGTGCGTCCTGTTTAAGAATTAGAGTTGATATCCGTTCGGATTCAGGATGTGTTTTATTTTTTTCGAACTTGATTCGATCTTATGTGTTATTAAATTTAAATTTAATTTATTTAAATTATTTTTTGTTTTTTTATATTCAAACTCGATTTCGATCCGATATTATATAAATTATATTTGATTCAATTGACTAAAAATTAATAAAATATTATTTTTTAAAATATAAAATATTTTTTTTTAAATATAAATATTTAAAAATATCATTATATAAATATATATAAATAAATAATTAAATAATTCATTAAAAGATAATTTTTTATATAATATTTGATCGAATCGGATCGAATTTATTTAAAATTAAAACTCAATCGGATCCCGATTATTTTTTAATCTTACCTGATCAGACTCGACTCAAAATTTAAATTTAAAAAAAAAATGATCTCGTAAGATCGAATCGAATCGAAATATGTCGATAATAGGTTCAGTCTTACTGAGAACAATAGTTAAGCTTATGTATAAAAAATATAATTAATATCGTATATTTTTAATATAATAAAAACAATATATTAAACACAAATATCTTTAAATAGTTCCTACAAATGCATGTAAACAATTTTTTCTTAACTTTGTGAGTCACGGTTCAAAGAAACTTTTCGTTTCTCACTCGCATCATACACATCTACGTGTCAAGAATCGACGTCACCACGTGTATCAAAAGCACACAGATCTTCTACAACCACATTCCGATTTGAAGTTGAATTCTGGCTGTATATATGTTTTTGTAAAAATGAGTTGGAAATTGATTTTTGTATTGTTGGTGGTTGTTTGGTAAAAAAATTGGTTAGTTAAAAAAGAATAATTTATGGATTAATGAAAAATGAAAATTTTTTTTTAAAGAGAAACAATTTTAAAAAATTATTTACCAAATTTGCAAACACAATTCTACTTAATTTGAATTTTGAATATGAGTTTTTTATACTCAAAATTTATTTAACTTGATTCAAAAATTATTGTAAAAATAAAAATATTTTTATTTAATTTCACTTAAAATTATAATGTTAATATTAAAAGTATTAATACAATAATATTATTATTTTCATAACATGAATATTTTTAATAATTTTCTAATATTTTTCAATTTAAAATATATTAATTTTATATTTTATTTATTAATGTATTTATATTAATATTTTAATAATAAATATAAATAAGTCATATTTTTGTTATGATTTAATAATAGATACTTTCAATTCAAAATATAAAATATAGCTATTTTAGTAATATAAATATTATTATTTTTAATATAGAGAGAAATCAATTTAAACCAATGTAAAACTAAAAGATTTTACATCTATTTTTAAACATTGATTTCAATAGATTTAAAGGTTTGGAAAGTCAAGTAAAAAAGTGAAAAAATGAATTAATCTCATTTCTTAAATCTATTAAAATCAATTATTAAAAAAAAGTGTAAAACTTTTAGGTGTAAGTTGATCCCTCCCCTTTTAATATTATTGTATTAATAAAAATAATATTTTAAGAATATAAATATTGTTTTAAATATTTTAAAATATTATAAAAATAATTTATAGTTTTGTTTTAAGTGTTTTTTATTAATATAATATTTTAATATTAAATATTATTATATAAATAATTATTTTTAAATATTAATAATAAATAATTTAAATATATTTTAATAATAAATATTTTTCAATATTTTAATAGATATGTCAATATTATTTAAAAGACAAACTAAATCTTCCATAAAAAAACAAGCATATAACATAAAACATTTTTCAGACTCATTCAAATAATAAAAATCTTTACTTTTTAAAAAAATAAAATTTTTAAAAAATATATTTATAAAAATCATTTCAGCTAAAGAAATAGAACTTTATTCTTGAGTACAAATGGGTAAACATTATGTACTTTTTCTTAACATCTAGGTTTATATATTTTTTTATAGCTCATTTTGATTGATTCGTATGTATGGATAAGAATAATCATTTATTATTTGAATTAATTATTTTTCTACAAGTGGTTTTTTTTTTTTGGTGATATATTATTGAAAAAGAACAAATCATCATAAGTTTTTGAATTAATTTATGGGTTTCAAGTTTTAATTTTTTAATTTTATTTTCTGTTATTTTTAATAATCAAATTGATAAAAAGAATCTAGCTATATTTTGACCTACTCATAAAAATAAAATGAAAGAGTAATATTTAGTATCTATAAAATTATTAGAGTTATTGAATTCAAAATTTCACTTAGTTAAATTTATGCAGTTATCCATAAACTATATAATTAATTTAAATTTTAAATTTTAATATTCACAATATATTATTCTATTTTCAAGTTATGATCTACTCTATAAAAAAATTACAAAACATTCACATGCCTCTCGATTACAAGCGACACATTTGATAGTTTAATTATTTAGAGTCAAGAATGAAGGCCTTACTTTACCGGACAACCTAAGTTACTTTTGCTTATTCATATGTCTTTCTAAGTAATGAGTTTGAAGCTTTCTACTTGCTTTTTCTAAAAACTAGTTCTATCGTGACTATTATATAATTGGGATGAACTTTAATGGAAATTATTTGATTAACAATTATTAATTTATACAAATTAAAGAGCAATGTATTTAGTATTACTAAAATCAATATTATTTTATTTCAAAGTACGAAAATAACTATTCTTATTTTAATAATTATACAAATTAATAATTTAAATGTCATATAAAGATAATAATTTATAAAATATAGTAATATTTTATTTATTTTATAATAAATATAATTAACTTGTTAAATTATTAAATATATTTTATTTATTAAGTAAACTAATTTTTATAATATAAATTATGTGAAAAAATATTTGAATTAGAAAATAAAATTAATATATTAAAATCATAATAGAACACAAAGATTTTATATTATATATAAAACGTTAGAAAATAAAAAATACATAAATTATTTTTGAATTTGTTGTAATAAATATTAATTTAAAAATATAAAAAATTATAATATAAAATAATTAAAATTTTAGAAGGAATCAAAATTTTAATTTACATATTATATGATAATATTAATTATTATTAATTTTACTTATTACTTTATCTTAGTGATAAAAATTTATCACTATTTTAAATAAAAATTAAATCATTATCTAAGATAATGATTTAATTTTTCTTGGTAATTCAACAATATTACCACAGAATATCATTAAATGTTTATTAAATATGGTGATTACCGATTTTTGAAATAACAATTGCATATCAAACACTACTAAAAGATAAAAAAAATAATTAAAATTGACAAAATATAGAGAATATATACCTTAAAATATACCTTTCCCATTATTTATAAAATTAAATTTGCTAAACCTTAACGTATATAGAGTTACTAAAAATAATCATAAAACGGCCAAAACAAACTTCTTCCAAGCTGACTCGGACCAAGCAAACCAAGTAGATAAGTCTTTCTTTTGAACCCCACAAACCATGACACGCAACCCCGTTGCTAGTCCCTTTGGATAAGGACCTTTCATCTATCTCGCCCTTAACTTTACCCTCTTCAAACAATCTCTCCAACTATTATTATTCTATTTCAATCCCATCATCGATTATCAATCAACCCTTACATAACTTTTCCAAAACCTGCTTTCTTTTTCTCTGTCTATCGTTTTGTATAAACTCATTGGGATTCAAACTTTATTTGGCTTATAAACAGAGATTCGAGCTCTGGGTTGTTTTGGGTTGATTTTGTTGTCTGACAATGGCGAGTGCTATCAGGATGATTGGTGGGAAAGGTTCTTCTTCATGGATGCAAGTTAAAGAAAAGGGAAAGAAGAAGACTGCGAACAGAGTTAGAGTTTGTTGTTCTGCTTCTTCTCATATTGATCCATACAAAACTCTCAGGATCCAACCCGGCGCATCTGAATCTGAGGTCAAAAAGGCCTTCAGGCAACTTGCCCTTCAGGTAATTTTTAATTTCTTCATTTTTCCATGCTCTTCTTCTTTCTTTTTGTAATATAAGTTTTTATTTGTTTTCATTGATTTGATTGAGGGAATTCATTGATCGATTGCTGGGGTTTTGTTTTTGATTTTTTCAGTATCATCCGGACGTTTGCAGAGGAAGCAATTGTGGGGTTCAGTTTCAAACAATCAATGAAGCTTATGATGTAAGTTTATCTTTCTCATACTATCAGACAGTAATATTAGTTTCTTTTTTGGTATCATTAAGATTTTATTTTATTTTCTTTCCCTATTCAGAAATTACAAGGAATAGGTGTTTAAATATGGGAATCATACTTGCCAGAAAATAGCACTAAAATTATTGGTCAAATTCATGAAAGATTGGATAATTGATTCCAACTATGTTGTGATAAGGAATTTTTCTTTCTTCACTTTGGTTTTTGGTTGGCTTGTTAACAAATTGCACAACATAGTGTATTTGCATATAGGGTTGAAATTAGATTTTATTTGTGTTTTAATGAATATAATAATGAGCTGTTGATGTGATATTCTGAGTTTATTTGGTGGTGATTTACAGATTGTGATGAATAATTTGAGAGAGCAATCGAGCCAGTCAAAAATGTTTGAGCAAGGAACGGATGAGCCACTGAGAGGAATGGACCGTACAGATTATGATTTGTGGGAAGAGTGGATGGGATGGGAAGGAGCTGGAATTCGTGACTACTCATCCCATATTAATCCTTACATTTGAACAAAACCGTAAATTAATTTTATTTATTATTACTATTATTATGACTAATGACGAATGATCCCACATGGTTTCGACAACCTAAAATGTTGGTTGTTCCTTTGTATATGCCTCAAAAGTGAAGAACAATTGCTTGATGCTTCAATTTATTCCTGAGGTAAAAGCATCAGAAAATAAACAAAGAAATTGAGTTTATCATCACTCTCTCTTTCTGCTATTCTTCCAGAACTTGATCCTCAAATGTATACTTCAAACAATGAGGAAGAATTTTTATGATTTTTGAAGTTTGATTTTAATTGATTTTTTATTTTTATTGCTTAATTATCTTTAATATTTTTGAAGTTATACTCATAATTAACTAAATAATTTATTATTAAATTACTGAATAATTAATTAATAAATTATAATTTAATTAAACAACTATGACAAGCTTGATTAATATAATCAAGGTAGCATCTTTATCTTTTAGATACTGTTTTTCTATGTTATCCTTAGCTTTTTTCTTTTTCTTTTTTTTTTAAGATTTTATCCATTTTTTTTTTTTTTGTAAATGACAAATTTTATCCCTTACTTTCCCTAAAGAAGGATGTGAGACTTTGAGTAAGGGTTTATAATAATTCTAAGGCTTCAATTTTTTTCCTCTATTTTTTTTTTTTTGTTTTAATCACACAATTTGCATATTTAATTTAAGAAATATTTTATCTACAATCACTATAATATAATTAATATATCATAATTCAAAATTGTATGGAATCTTTTAAGCCTATACTTATAAGTAGTGAACACACTCAATAATGCTTCTATGACATCAATATTGATAAGAATTTTGGAAATTAAAATTTTGAAAATTTTAGGTGTGTTATATTTTTTTAAACTGAATTAAAATAGATAAAAATTGACAAATTTAAGAGGATGAATTTAAGTGCATAATGTCATCTTCAAATGAATTAAATAGATATAAGTTAGAAAACAAAAGGGTTGATAACAAACAAAAAATCCCATGTTTAAGATAAAAATCAAGGTAAAGTGCATTTCTAGTCTCAAACTTTTTATTTGGGTTTTATTTTGATTTTTAAATTTTAAATTGTTCCATAATAGTCTCAAACCTTTTAAAATAATGTCAAGATGGTTCTCTTATCAAATTTTGCAAGATAATTACAAACTTAGGAAAATAGATCTAAAATTATTATTTTTGGTTACCATATTAATATATATATATATATATTAAAAATAAATAAACTTTTAAAATTTTGACAAATGAAATGTAATTATAATTTTTGTCTTTGATTTTAAAAATTTAACTTAAAATCAAGGGCAAAAATAGTAGTTTAATTTTCTTCGTAATAATTATAATTTTTTTTAAAACATATATTTTGATATGGTAGCAAAAAATAATAATTCTATGTCAATTATCTCAATTTATTTTATTTCTTTCTTTATTTTATTTTATTATTTATTTTCCCAATATTTACAAAATTTGATAAAAAAATATAAAATTAAATTCTTTTAAAAATAAAGCTAGAAATTATTTTTAGCAAAAAACAAAAATGAAACATATCCAAATAATTTAAATGTAATTACTAGAAAAGAAATAAAATTTATAAAACTATTTAGAAGGAAACAAAAGTATCATTTTTGCCATTGATTTTAAAAATTCAACTTAAAATTAGTTAAAAATAATACGTTTTTCTTTGTAATAATTATAAAAATTTTATTTTTTAAATAAATACAGTTTGATATGATAGCAATGAGTAATAATTTTGAATCCATTACCTTGATTTTATTTTCTTTCTTTATATTATTTCATTAAAATTTATTTTTCCAATATTTATAATTTTTGATAAAAATATAAAATTAAATTTTATTAAAAATAAAGTTGGAAATTATTTTTAACAAAAACGAAAGAAATGAAACATACCCAAATAAATTCTACTTTCAGGTGGTTGACATCTATTTTCTAATATAAATATATATATATATATAATTTGTTTATGCTAATGGACTTAAATAATAAAGTTTGCATTTTAGTTATAATTTTAAACTCAAGCAATAAGAGAATTATGTTCATTTGCAAAGTGATTTTAAATGAATTACTTCTAATATAATATTTTTTCAAGAGATTATTGTAGTAAATAAGTAAGTTGTTTTAGGTTGATATAATTTTAGAGAGTTTTAAATTATACTAGTTATATTACCAATAATTCACAAAAAAAACTTTATGGATTATCATTTATTATTTACTTATATTTATTTAGTATTAAAACATCATTTTGGTATGTTTCATTTCTTTCCCTTTTTTTTTTTATAAATCTAGCTTTATTTTTAATAATATTTAATTTTATATAAGAGAATTTGATAACATAAGAATAAAAAAAGAAAATAAAATTATAGGTCCTAGAATTAGTACTCTTTGCTATCATATCAAAATGTTTTATTAGAAAGAAAATAAAATTTTTAAAATTATTACAAAGGAAAATAAATTTTCATTTTTACCTTTGATTTTTAGTTGAATTTTTAAAATTTAAGACAAAAATGATATTTCTATTTCATTCTTAAATATTTTATTTATTTTTAATAAATATGTTTTAGTATAACAATAGAGAATAATAATTTTAGATCTATCATCTTAAGATGTAATTTTCTTGTAAATTTTGATCAAAAGACTATATCAACACCATTTTAAAAAGATCCAGATTATCATGAATCGATTAAAAATTTAAAAATTAAAATAGAACCTAAATAAAAAATTTAGGATTAAAAACGTTCTTTACCCTTAACAATCATGAGTGTAAAGAAAAAGGAAATTGAGACAAGGAATCATGGATAATCTAAAAAAGAAAAAAACTAATACTACTGTTACTAAAAGCAATGGCAACATAAAAAAGGGGAAAGTAAAGGAATAGCAGGCTTTGGTCCACGGTCAATTAACTTAAATGCCACAAGCATTGAAATCAAATGTTTGATTGATGTGATAGGTAAGGAATACACCAAAAACGAAAAGAATGGTATATGTTGGAGATATCCTAGTGTCAACTGCCAAGTACCATACAATGAATCTTTACTATTGCAATGCTTCATTTTCAACGTGTTTGGTTGTAAGATACAATCATAAATAAGGTAAATGATTTTAGTTGAATGAGTCGTTCTTTCTCGGTTTTAAATTTATTGTTTTAAGAGAACAAAAATGTGTAAAATTATCAAAATTTTTGCTGCCAAAATAAAAGATAAGGGAGTTTTTTTTTTTTTTTTTTCTAAAGTAAGTTATTTTGTAATTTTATTTCCTTGAATAGGGTGTTTTAAAACATTATTTTAAAAACATGTAGTGTTGTCAACTCAACTAACAATTCCAATTTCCACACCATTTGTATTCCTCCAATCCCGTCGTTCTCTAATCAAAGTTCATCGCCTTCTCTAACTCCTGAGAACTCTTCATCTAATCCTCCCCTTTTGAAACTGTGGTAAATATGTGACTATACGCATATCTCTTTTTTTTTTTTTTCTTTTGCTAATGAAAAAGATATTGACTAGGGATGAACTAATAGTCTCCATAAATGAATTACTGAGAAAGTAAAGCAAATTAAATAAATAAATAAATAAAGAATACAAAGCAATTTAAGGTCACTCATGTTTGTGACTTGTACTTTGTAAATATTTTGGTTGCTCTTCTTACAAACCCATTAACTACTGTAAGGTTTCATTTGTTTCGCTAAAGTTGATCTTTAAAAAAATATTTATATTTAAAAAAAAAATAAAAATTTTTTATTATTTGGATGAATTAATGAAAAATATTTTTTGTTATTTAGTTATTTTTTGAAAAATCTATTTCTTCTTTCAAAGAATATTAATATAATTATTAAAATAGTAAAAATTATTTATTATTAAAGTATTTGAAATTATTTTATTATTAAAATTATTAATATTCAAGAATAATTATATTTTAATAATAATATTAAATATTAAAATATTATATTAATATAAAATACTTAAAATAAAACTATTTATTATTCTTTATATTAATATTTAAAAATATCTAAAATAGTATTACTATTTTTGAAATATTATTTTTATTAATATTAAAATAGTAACATTTCTTATTAAAGTATTTATGCTATTAAAATATTTATATTTTATATTGAAATTATTTGTTATTAAATCATAACAAAGATATTTTTTTATTTATATTTATTATTAAAATAATAATATAAATACTTTAATAATAAAAATATAAAATTATATATTTTAAACTAAAAAATAAGAAATTATTAAAAATATTCATATAAAAAAAGTAATATTATTATATAATTTAACATTAATTATTACAATAATAAAAATATTATTGTATTTATTATTAAAATAATAATATAATAGTATTTATTATTGAAATACTAAAAATATTTATGTTTAATAATATACAAAATAAAATTAGTTAAAATTGAAATATAAAAAAAACTTTTATGTTAATATTTTAATTTTTAATTAAAATTAAATAAAATATTTTTATTAACATAATAATATTTTAAGTAGAATCAAATAAAGTTCGAGTTTAAAATATAATGTTCAAAGTCTTATTTGAATAAAATTATAAAAATATTTGAAATTAAAATATTAAAATACTTTTAATATTAATATTTTATTTTTTAAAGTAAAATTTAATAAAAATATTATTATTTTTATATAATAATATTTTGGGTTGAGTCAAATTAAGTTTTAGCTTAAACAAAATCATGTACAAGGTTCAACTTGAGTAAAATTATATTTAAACACATTGATAAATAGTTTTATTCATAGATGACTCTTTTTTGGAAATTATCTTCTCTTTTCCAAAAAAGTAAGACAATTTCCAAAAAAATTATCTCATTTTTTATTAACCAATAAGTTATTTTTGGTTAACCGATTAGTTTTCTACCAAACAAACACCTGAAAATACAGAATCATTTTCTAAAAATCATTTTATGCTAAACAAACGAAGCCTAAGTAAGGGATTTTTTTTTTTATAATTAGAAGATATTTCAAGTAAGAAAAGTGCTCATTGCCTAGATTATTTGAATGGCTTTCCTTGTTTTTTTGGATGGCAGTGAAAGCATCAAAAACACATTCAACAATTTTTATATTCATTACTTTGACTAGAAAAAAATGCTTTTCAAATTTTATTAGATAAACTTTCTCTCATCTCTAGTTTTTCATTCCTTTCTTTGTTTAAT